TAAAAGGATGAATTTTAAGGTATATAAATTTAGATTCATATATTTTAAGGAATAGGATGAGGCCCTGCCCTCACATGACTACTTCCGCCCCTTGAACTGCAGCTCCCCTGTGGTGTCTGAGTGCAGCCTCTTATCTGGCACCATGGGCAAGAAGAAGGGGCACAATGTATAGAGAAGAGCTGCCAAGATGGTATCCCAGCACTTGTGGGGAAAGGAGGCTGCCTGGGGGACAGGTATGTCTTCGGAGAGCTGTTTGCTTCCCCCAGTGGAGAACAGTTCTACCACTACAAGGACCTCTGGGTCCTGCATTTGGCCACCAAGACCTGGGAACAAGTCAAGCTCTGCTTTTAGGCATGCAGTGAGGTTGGCTTGGCTCAGCATTCCCATGGAAGTCATGTGTAGAGCAGTTACTAAGTTCGGTCCATTGCCCTTGGGCTGGCTTAGCCAGCGGGACTCTGACTTCAAATTGCTGCTGCCCATTTTGGCCTCAGTTACTAAAGCGCTGCTGTACTAGCCACAATGGCAAGAGGATGTTGCCAGACATTTCCCTCTATAATTTAAAACAACCAAACCAAAACTGATCTAAAAGAAAAGGAGCCTGTGCTGAACCTACATCCTGAGAAACCAGAACTGGAGGAGCAGATGGAAGAGAGAAAGTCGGCATGAGGGGAGGATGAGAATTCCCCAGAATGGACAAGGTCATGGAAGAGCAGATAGAACCCAGAGGAGGAGGAGCCCATCCCTGACAGGACACATGGGCAGAAATATCTGCAGTGATGGGAGATTTACAACCACTTTGATTCTTTCACTGAGCACTGCTGAGAGCCTCCTTTGTGCTTGATCTTGAGTTGGGAACTGTGCCTACAGAGACAAAGAAACCACCATCCCATTATTCCCAGAGTTCTCAGACAGGCTGCAACACCTGTCTCACAGTAATGACTGGTGACCTCTCAGAACATCACCACCTTCTGGCTCCAGGTTGGCTGAAAGCCATTTGCAATGCCCAATGTCTAAGGATGCCCAACGTCTGGACCACATCAGTAGCTCTTATGTTCCCGTTAGCTGAAAAAATGAAGAATTGCTAGATGTACCTCTTCTGGCATTGATGTCACCATGACAGCATCCCTTGGCCCTTCCTCTGATCCTAGGGCCAAAATAAATATCACAGAAATCAACTAGAAATTGCACTATCAGCTAGAACAGTTCTGAGACCCCAAAGCAAGTTTTCTTACACCTAAAGCTACTCCTTACTCCCTGGTTAATGAGCTGCAGAAATACAAGTGTGTACATTTCAAAGACAACTCCGTGTTGAAAGAGTCTGCAGCCCGAGTGGGAGCTGGCCAAGAAGTTGACGCTGGCTAAGCAGGTGACAAAAGGAGAAGGAAATACAACAGTAATAATGAGAGCGCTGTGAGCTAACACGGAAGTTATTAGAAGTGAGAGACGTGTCATTTCTCCTCTAGGACCTCTTCACCTGTCGTCACATAACACCTACCAGGGTAGTGCCTCCAACAATGACTGGCTGATGGGTGCAGGCCGGCAGAGCACTTTGTCAGTAACCTCAACCCAGAACAGTAGTTGCTGTTACTCCAGTTGAGCACAGAAGGACTGCACCAGGAGTAAGAACAAGACATCCTGCAGGACTCACAGTATGAAGGCTGTAAGACTTCCTCCAGTCACTATAACCTGATGACCCAGCAGCCTCCCAGCACCACTGCTGTACTATTAGATGAGCACAATGTCTCCTGCAGCTAAAAGTCAAGATGATCAGAAACAAGAGGAAGAGCCCATTGTTTCCAGGGAGCTGCAAGAGACAGGAGAAGGAAAAAAAAAAAAAAAAAAAAAAAAAAAAAAAAAAAAAAGTGCTGCAGGACTCATTGGATGAGAAGTTTAATGCTTTTTCCAGTTGCCAGGATTTCCTGACTCCTTTGAGGTTTCCCAACAGTCCAGCCTCCTCCCCATATCTGAGGAGTGTGGTACTCTCTACTTTGGATGAAGCAAAAAATAACAGGGATTTCAGTTTTGGAATTCAAGTTCAGGACCTAGACTTGATGCAGTTAGGGCAGAAATTCCAGAAATGGATGTCATCTTCTCCGCCCATCTGAGTTTCAAGGATCTCCTTAGCCAAGATGACCCTGACAGATGCCAAGGGAAGAGCCACCAAAAACTAGCTGAGTGGTACAAGCTGGCCAACCACTGAACCCTCAACCTCAATCCAGAAAAACATGGTGATGAGGATATGAAGAACAAGACTCCACTGGATTCTAGTCTGCACTTTGAGCTACAGGAGGACAAACCTGACACACTCCCCTCACATTTAGTTAGGGGAACAGTTCTTCCTCCCTTTCAGTCATACTGACATGCTTGATTTATAAGAACATCTTAGAAGCATTGCCTTCCCATTAGATGAGCCTGAAGTGATGAAGTGATTAGATGAAGCCTTGAAGTTCTTGCTCTGGATGGAGCAAGAACTCAAGATGATCAGAAACAAGAGGGAGAAGAGGAGGCCATGGTGTCCAGACAGCTGCAAGAGATGGAGAAAATGAAAAAAGTGATGAAGGACTCAAAGAAACAAAAGGTTTTGGCTTTTTACTCCTGCCAGGATTTGTCTGATTCCCCTGAGCTCCTCAATAGTTCAGCCTCCCTATCTGAGGAGGGTATAATTCTCTCTACATGAAACCAAAAATTAAAATGCTTGCAAGGATGAAGAAGTACCAGAGCCAAAGACAACCAGGGATTTCAGTTTTGTGATTCAGTGTGAATCTCTAGGGTTTATGCACTTAAGACAAAAGTTGCAGAAATATTATCTTATTTCTCATCTGAGAATCAAAACCCTATTCACCCGAGATGACTCTGACAGATACCAGAGGCAGAGGCACCAAGAACAGCTGGCTGAGTGGCCCCAGCTGCCTGAACACCTCCATCCTTGAACCGAGCCTTGAAAACTTTAGTGATAAAGATAATGAAGAACAAGAATGGAACTAAGAAAATACAGGATTGTTGACTGTAGGAGACTGCATAAAGTTATACATCAACAAACCAGTTAAAGGCCAAGCAGAACACAGGAGGGATCCTTCATGAGCTTTGGATTTCACAACCACAAACTGTATTTGATGATTTTTACTCCAAAAGGCCACTGTTATTATAGAAATCAGTCCCTCTGCTTCTAAATGTGATAAATACCTCAGAAGACCAAGGTCTACCTGTGGTTTGTCCATCACTGAGTCCTTGGTGCAGGGACTGGTCACTTGGGAGGGAGGTATCCACATTAGTTCAGGAAATTGATATACTCTGTTCTCTATCAGTGTTAAGCAGTTTGGAGTGTTACTTTCAGAACAGATAAATATCTTATTTGCCAATGATCTTCCTTAAAATATTTTACCATTTAGCTACATCCTTACCTGTATAAATTATTACACCCTGAACCTGGCAACCATCTAATTTAACTCTTCCTATTGAAACAACAACAACAACAACAACAACAAAAAACCCAGAATGGTCTCATAGCACTTGGGGATGGAAATAAGGATCTGAATAAGAGGCGTAGAGGGGCCAGACTCTGAAAAAGGACTGAGTCCACTGTGAGTGGACTGGATGTCTGCTGTCCCATAAGCTCGGATGAGTTATCATACACAGTTCTTTCCTATTAAAACAAAACCTGGAGAACCTAAATATTCTAAGAGCATTGTAGTCAGTTCTGCTACAAATCTCTCTGGACACAGAGTTGCTCAATTAAGTAATGCCTGTGTTAACATATGCTGGTGCAGGTAGTGCCTTCACCTTTCAAGCCCCCAGCTTCCCTGTGTAGAATCTCCCCTGTACAGCAGCACTTCCTCTAGCTTAGTAATAACTGCCACAAGGACTTTGGCTCTTCCAGGGAAACTCATTAGTGTCTAGGGACTTTGAAATGAATCAAAATAATAAGCCAGCCAAAGACAATATTTATAATTAGCATTTTCTGTTCATGAATGAGGTTTTATTAGAGGTAAATATGTCTTATTAGAGGGCAATTTTGAGTACTGAAATACTTTGGAAAAAAAAGATAAACTGCCTATCAGTCCTCATTGTCTGGCTTTCAAGTCCTCACATAAGGAGTTCTCATCTGCTGTTTCGTCTAGTGTTTCTATTACAATCACTTTAGTTCCCGAACCTGCTGGCCCATAGGAACCCCTGGGTCTTCACTCAGGGTGTTCTAGGCTCCTAGGATCACCCCTCCCTCCTACTCTCCCAGTCCTACCCCTGCCAACTCGTTAGTTCCACTCTTAAGTCCTCCTCAAAGGTTGTGCTCACTAGTGTAAGCCGCCCTAATCATCTTTGTGTCACATATCAGCCTTCATGCACAAAACTATCAGGTCACAATGGAGGTGTAACTTACACTTCCTTGTTTCACTAGGGTTTTTCTAATATATCCTATTTTAAAATATTCACTTCCTTACACAAGGAGCTTACAGTTTAAAATAATTAAATGTAATGACATACCTTCCATCAAAATTTTGCCTTCAATTGCAAGGATAGCATAAATCTTTACATGCTCCGTGCTTTCCAAGTTTTAATTTTCAACCAATTCCTCTCTACTCAAAACCATTAATAGACAGTTACCTTTTCAAGTAGCTTTTTTCTGCATGAGTAGAATTTCTCGGTTGGCCAGAAAGCTTTGTAAGCTATCATTACCTTGTACTTAAAAAAGATAGATTTCATATTGAATCCACTAATTTCATGCAGAATCCACTCCTGATGTCACTAGCATTAAATTGGGGTCTTTGGAGTATCTCTCAAGAAAACAATCCATGTCCTTTTACTTGAATGCTACTGTGCTATTTATAATTTTAAAAAATTATTTTCATGGAACTGGGGACTGAACCCAGGGTCTTTACACTGAGCTGTATCCCCAGCCCCTTTATTTTGAGACAGGATCTCACTAAGTCACTAAGTTGCCCAGGTTGAGCTTGAACTTGTGATCTTCCTGCCACAGTGTCCCAGAGTGCTGGGATTACAGATATGGGCAACCATGCCCAGTTTGTTTGCTTTCTAAACTTCACAAACACAGGAAAAAGAAACACAGAAAAACTGTGAGGCAAATCACGGGGCCGTTAACTTTTGCCATATTGTTGGATGGATGTAGAATTAAAAGCTGTCAATATTTTCTTTCTCCTCACCACAATAAAGGAGGGAAAAAAAAAGAGCAGAAATGAATGGTAAGGTTATTTGCCAGCAGGAAGAAGAGCTGGCATTCCACACTCATTTTGCAAACCAAATGGAAAAAATTACTTTCCTAACTCATGCCTGGACAGTGTGGTCCCACCTTGGCAAAAAAGCCAGAAAAAATACACAGCCAGCAATTTTCTGGCCCGAATGGTCAGCTCCTCTGAACTTCATTGCTGATAGTCATTCCTGAGTTTACTCTGGGTGAGTGCTGGAGTGTGTTTTTTATACAGGCTTGACTATACTTGCAAGCAGGTAGATTTTCTTGCAAACCTTTATAGTCAGGCAAAATACAACCAGAAGGAGGAAAGCAATTTGTCACCACAGGTTTAGAAGAGAACCTCATGTGTACCTAGTGGCCTGCACAGTTCTAAACAGATAGCTATCCTAGATGAAATATTGTTACTACCTTTCTTCCTTCCTTCCTTTGCTCCTTTTTATTCGGGACAAGGTATTGCTATATAGTCCTGGATAACCCTGCCCTCTCAGTCCCCCTACCTCAGGCTCCTGAATGCTGGGATTACAGGCATGTGCCACCCTCCACACTCTTTACTGCATTTCTAAAATACCTTCTTCCATGTACAAATGCTCCTTCAATTAGGTTATATTTTCCTAAATGCTCTCCTTTGGTCATGAGCAAGTATAGACTGATCTATATAGCCATAATAAGTAGGCCGCCTCTGAGCTTCCCATAGGGAAAACTGAAATCTGATTCTTCTTTTTCTTCACTTAGTCCCTAGGTTGAGAACTCCGAGCAGTAAGAGGCACAGGATAAAGACGGGACAGGGTGATCCTTTTTGGGAATCGATCCCTTTGTTGAATGCCACTTTGAAAGGAAAGAAAAAGTCAAATGGCAATTTCCAGTCGATTCTGGGCTGGCTTCTTGGAGGCTCTGGCTTCCTTGTAATGTCCACAAAGTTTATAAGAGTTGTCAGAGATACGTCTGCTCCTTTTTGGGAAACCTATACGAAAAAAGTCAGTGAAGTTATTGTTTGGTACCTATTCATGTAGGCCTTTCAACTTGGCTCTGTTATTTTTCCTTAAGACCATAAACAAATTGCTTTTTTGGAAGCTCTCTTCTTCCACCATTGGTCCTATGTAGTTTTCTATGAGAAATGAGAAAATGAATTTTCTGACAATAGTTCATGGTACTAGAACCGTTAGTGGTACTTCACTTCACAAACTTGATTCTTTCCATGATTCTGGTTGCAAACCAAGTTGGACAAGAGCCAAATCAAATTTAGTGTTTAGGTTCAATGTTGACGTTATCTGGAAATTTGATTCAGTTCTAGTCCAGTTTGGTTTGCAACCAGAATTGTGGAGAAAACCGAGTTCACGAACCAAGGTACCACTGTGCAGACCTAAAGACTGACTTGGCTGCACCCAGTTGAGGAGCTGCCTGACACCAGCGAGGCAGAAGGGCACAACTGCTGCTGTTGTAGCTCCACTCTACTGCATCTTAGAAGCCTGCAGGTTCTGAAACGATGAACACGTACTAGTGGAAGCAGTACAGTAAGGTGAAATTTCATGGAGAAGCAAAGAACTCAGTAATGTAGACTTAAATAGAAGAAAAACCAAACCAAACCAGATCCACAGACTTCCAGGGTTAGAAAGAATTCTCCCAACCACCCAGCAGTTCAAATAAAATAAAATAAATGTTCCCAGGGGATAGGACCTTGTTAAGCTAACACAAGTATCTATCCTAATAGAATGGTTCTTGGATATGCCTGCTGCTGCTGCTGTCAAACAATGGAATCGTATTTATCTAAAAATTCCCTTTGTCCTGATTCTATGCTAACCAAGAAAACTTCTGAGTGTAATTTGACAATAAATAACTATCCTATGGAATCTGGAATGAAGATTTTCTCTGTTCACTTTCTACCATTCTGATGCACACATGCTGTGCTGTGGTCTTTGAACACAGTAAAGACTAAGCTCTAGGGATGCAATTTTGTTCAGAATGACCATTGTAGGGGCTGCATTTACTTTTTTGTTGTTGTTTTTAAAACAGCATATAGCCAGTGCTGGAATAATCGTACATATCACTTTAATTCTTTGGCTTTTTCTTTTTAAGCAGTGAACCTGTAAGTGATTTGGCATAGAACAAATGTTCTGAGATGCTGAGCCGTGTACATCCAAGGACAGCCAGCCAAGACTGAAGTTGCACAGGGAACCCTGATTCCAGCTAAGCATCAAAAACTCACTGAGACTAACTACACAAAGGAAATTAGGAGTTTTACAAGTATTAAATTTTAGTGGGCTTGTTTTACAAAAAGATTTATTGTTAGGACTTTTTAATTTTTCCGCAGGAATTTTATAGTGGAAAGAAGATCTATATATTCAGTCTTTTGAAGCAAATCTGATATTACTGAACCATATTAAGAGTATTATTTAAAGAATGCCTGGTGAACTACATTGGCCAGGATAGAAATACTCTGGGATAAAGTTAGAACAGGAAATGGATTTTCAGATTTGGGTTCAGCATAGTCTAGGAATTAATGTACTATTCTGACTCTTTCAGAGCCTTCAGGAGGAGACTCCAAGGAGCTGCTGTTGTAGCTAGGGTACTGGCCTCATGATGGAAGAGTAGAGTAGTATTGTATGAGGAAACCCACTGCCAAATGCCTAAGCTATAGCCACCTATCTCTAGTGCTTATTAGTAACAGAATTGATACATTGATCTCTATTTGTCTAATTCTTTTCTAAATTTAAAAAAACATTTTTTTAATTGAGCCTAGAGCAGAAGTCTTTTGAGCCCTACCTGGGCAGGTCAGTTTAGCAAGACCTTGTCTCAAAATAAATAAAAAGGGTTAGGGATGTAGCTCAGTATGAAGGCTATGGGTTCAGTCTTCAGTATTAAGAAATGTTTTTTAAAACTGGCACATAATAGGGCTGGGGATATAGCTCAGTGGCACCGTGGCTGCCTGGCAATTACAAGGTCCTGAGTTTGATCCCTGGTACAAAAAAAATGGCATATAATAGTTGTACATGTTTAATAGAGTACAGTGTGATGTTTCATTGCATGTTTACAAAAAAAAATGAGCAGATTAGGGTAACTGGAGTATCTACCAACTCAAACATTTATAATTTCTTTAATGGACAGAACATTCAAAATCTTAAGTAGCTATTAAAAAATATATTTAATTGCGTATCTGTCTCCTTTTAACTGGTAAAGAGGAGTGTCATTAGCTATTATATCCCACCAACTCAGGAAAGGCTCTAAAATAATCACAAGCCCAAAGAAACAACCTTTAGGTCCATATATAGTCAAGTCTACAGTAGTGGTTCACTGGCTAGAAAACCTCATGAAACAGAGGTTTTTGAGCAAAGTTGTTCTTCCAGACTCACCCAGGATATCTAGTCATCAAGAACTACTACTAGATTTCATTTTAAGGCAGCAATGTAAAGGCATGTCTTCTTATGCACCTCGAAACCTCTTCAACAAGAAACAGAAGCAAAACCTCCAGTGACAAATGTGAAAATAGAAAGCAGATGGAGGCAATAGTTCACAAAAGGAACAAAGGCTTCCCTAGAAACCTCCAGAGGCTAGAAACAAGTGGAATGTCTCTGAGGGATCCCAAAGACTCAATAAAAGAAGAGGAGGCAGGGATGAGGGAAGAACACAAAATGGTTATTGAATGATCTCCTTGCAGTGGAGTCCAGCAGTTATCCCTTCACCTCAACAAGAAACTGGACAATGTAAGCCAGAGAAATTCTGGACTTAGGGAACTGGGAATAGAGGAGGACAGAATGATGTATAGAATGAAAAACTGAGGGATTATTTTGTATGATAAAGTCCCTTTCCTCATCTAGCTCTAAAATGCTGGTGGGTGGTCTTGGACTAGAGAGAATTCTCTGGAAAAAAATTAACAATCACTGCAAAGATACAAAGATCCGAACATCCAGCCATTCCACAAACCCAAAAGCAACTGCACCTAACTGCCCCACAGTGAAGGTGACAATAAGTCTCACATATGGTCACTGAGCTTTCAAACAGCTCAGTATCTTATGATTTTGGATAGACAGCAGTTAACAAATGTGGGCAAGGTACTCACATTAAAGAGAAACCTACCAAATGAACAGAATCAACAAACTCAAAGGAAACACAGACAATGAACAATAAAGATGCAAAGTTAATATCTTCAAAGATATCTTTTAAAAAGATATTATTAAAAAAAAACATAACATAAGAAAGAACTCAGGCTAGTGGTGTACCTCAGAGGTGGAGTGTCTTCAAAATCTTGAGTGAAAATGACTTTCAATCTAGAATCTATACCTAGACCAATGATCAGTTAAACATGATAATGATGATATGATGATGGTATAATAAAGTTATTTTTAGACAAATGAACTAAAAACAACTTTATACCTTTTCTAAAGGTCATTACAATGTGAGCTCCACCTAAACAAGAGAGTATATGTAGCAAACACAGTATCCAGTAAACAGTGAATGTTATATAAGTAAGAAATAAGAACTCCCAAAATGACAGTAAAATTCCATGACAAGTGTTGGGTAGTAACTAGTCCCCAATACAGCAGGTTATGGAGGTCTCCATGAAGAAAATACATAGGAAAAAGTGGAACTGTTAGATTGTATGGGAAGTTCAACTGTTTGGAAAACTACATTGAGAGACATTTGCACAGCCATTGAAGGAATGTGAAAAGTCTTAGTCATTGGACCAAATAAAACTAAGAATGAAATACAAGTTAATTATTAATATTAGGAAAAAAGGTTTAACAAAAATTGAGCTTCATGTCTCAACATGAATGCTTACATAGTCATCAAAATAAAAGTATTTTGATGCAACGGGATGAGTAGGAGGAAAGTAACAAAGCTCAACTCATGAAAACATACATTATCCCCAAAACCGATGATTCAAAAGCTAAGTACACGTGGTGCTTAGAAATCAAGATACATGCCAGAATAAATAGCTAAAAGAGATAAATGGGTAACTTCTAGAAAGTTGGTTGGTGAGGGAAGTTATGAGACTAATTTTTCAGAGACTTGTCTGTGTTTTTTCAGTTTTGTTTTTTGAACTTGTAAGAGAAATGGGCTTTCATATTCCTGCATCCTTAAGTCAAGATGGATACTCCCAGGTAGGCAGTGCAAAGCCAAAAAAGAAGAAAGCTCAAGGCGTATCCACCAAAAATGGTAGAAGTGGTGGTGAAAAATGCATAGGTTAGTGCTAAAGCAAAATTACATTGGAGGATAGTCAACAGGGTATGACATACGAGATATGAAAAACTACATAAAATATCCAATATTGTATGGAGGTGTGGGACAAATGCCAGCCCAGTATATACCATCCAATTAAAAGGAAGTGAATTGCACTTACAGGGAAACTGGAAATACTGAATGTTATTGACCCATTTTAGAATCTGAGTCGCAAGGATTTTGAGAGTTAAATTCAGTTTGTCATATTTGAATTGTGAAGTTTAAAGCTTTCCATTTGAAATTATGTATAGACAAAATTAGAGAATTGACTGTTCAGTGTGTAAGCACTGCAAAAACAACTACTCTCTCCAATCTGATTGCCTCCTTTCATCAGAACAGAAAAAAAGACACTCAGCCAAGTCTGCATTTCTTTTACCAGTTCTATTGTGTAGGGCTGACTTAATTTACGTCTACTTTAAGCCATATTATTTTATGTTACTTCAGAAATTACCAAAAACTGTTTTATCACTTAGTGAGGTTTGTGGAATTTATATGCTTCAAATCATTTCACAATGCAGCAAAATCTTTGGTCCCAAATAAGATTTACTTTGTCACAATACAGAGTTTGGATTAGGTTTTATTTAGCTTTGTAAGAAGAAAATCCTATGTATTGTATTACATCTTTATAATAAATTTTAAACAATTTTATGTTAACACACTATGTCAAATCATTACAAACACAAATTGTTAATAATAAAAAAGACGTGTACACTCTTCTATTTAAGGATTTTTGTAGCTACATTCAGA